TATGTCTCTCTCTGTCAAATAAATAAATAAAATCTTTAAAAAAAATAAAATTAAATTAAAATAAAATAAATAAATAAATCTGGTCATTGTTTTAGAACACAGAGCTTTCAATGATTAAAAAAGGATGATGTCATTTTTCTAAGACGTATCTCATTGTGTTTCCCAAACTGGTAAGCTTTATTCAAAACCAAGAAAGCATCACTTGCTTTCTATTTTAATTTACCTAATCTTGTCTGGATATATTAGAAAACAGGCTAAAAGCCTTTAATCTTTTATTTTTTTTTTTAAAGATTTTATTTATTTATTCATGAGAGACAGAGAGAGAGAGGCAGAGGGAGAAGCAGGCTCCCAAGGAGCAGAGAGCCCGATGCGGGACTCGATCCCAGGACCCTGGGATCATGACGTGAGCCGAAGCCAGACGCTTAACCATCTGAGCCACCCAGGCGCCCAAGCCTTTAATCTTTTAAACCCAAATTCCAATCTCTAGCTCTCATTCCCTGATTCTACATAAAATTTTCAAAATAAGGAAGGCATTTAGGGCATAAATCTTCATGTGATCTTCAGCATTTGTAACCACTATTCTGAGTATCAATTTCAACTGTGCTATAACATGGGTATCAAAGTGTTGGTTTAAAACGTACTGAGGGTATTTTAGTGCCTACGTCACCCTCTGGAAGTGTCTCTCCTCTCTCTCTCTCTTAAACTAAATCCCTACTATTCATTTATTTGTTCAAATGCTAGATAAACTGGATGCTCATCTAACACCTAACAGGCAAGATCAAGGAGATCAGGCATAGAAAAATGAATAAAATATTATCTCTACTAAGACAGTCTTATCTCTACAAGCTCACTATCTTGTGGGGGAGGGAAAAATGCAATTCTAGATACCTTATTCACTGAATGAAACAGCTACAGGGGAATGGGCGGTGGGTATTAGCAAAGACTTTAGATAGGAAATTATATTTGAGCCTTGAGCTGAGAATTAATGGCTAAACATGGGCTTCCTAAGCAGAGACATTCAAGAGTAACTATTTTCTTCCAGAAAACAGCTAATAGTCTTTTTACCGAACATAAGCATGCAAATACAAATAATACCACCTGTAAAGAATCTATGAAGCATACAAAACATTCCCCAATAACTAAAGTTTACTCCTCAGTTCCAAAACTAACTTTTAAAAATGACCTTTTATTCTTGATTCATATTTGTTTCAATCAACATAAATTTTGTATCACCCTACCATGAGAACAGCAACAGACTTGAGTTCCAGCCCTCACTCAGCCATAATTAGCTTCATGACTTTAAATACTTAGTCATGTAATTGTTCTAGACCAGATTTCTTTATAAAATAACAGGGTGAGAGCAGAGGAATTCTAAGGTCACTAAATGTAAGATTCTAGCGTTCTAGGCATACAAGAAATTCAAAACAAGCCCCTACCTTGGTCAAAACATCTAGATTAAAGGAAAACATAAAAAACTTCAGATTTTAAACCAGAAATTTAGGGGTGTAATTTTACAATAATATCTATGTACTTCTGAAAGTCTGAGTTCCAAGTACAGAATTGTTTCTTATAAGTAACTATACTGCAGACAAAACTATGCCCAACAACCTCCAAGATTCTCAAAACAAAACAAACAGAAAAAAAGAGGCAAAGAGGTTTGTGAATTTTACTATTCCACATAAGTCATTTGAGCTGCTAAATAAAAAAATGCAAATCTGATTACTTAGCAATAATATCTCAACAGCATTAACACGCACCAAAAGAACATTATTGCACAGATTTAAAAGGAGGTAGAATTCCCATTAAGACTACCCCTGAAATTATCAGATGGCTGCCAGAATTAGGTTACTAACCCAAACTTTAATGGAAATGGATACAAACTAGAATCTATGGATACAAACTAGAATCTAGATAGAACATCATTGAAAACTACTACACCAAACAGTATGAACCCTTGCCAAAATGATAAAAATCTGATTAATTCACAACTCCACTAATTTCAGTTTTGTGATATTTATGGCCAGGGCTAGGTTAAAGATCACTTTTATGTAATAAATACTGCCTCAAAAGCAAGTCTCCATTATAAAAGACTCTTCTAAGCTTTCACATGAGAAGATACTATTTACACTTATTATGTAAATATATACACATATACAACTCTGATCATCACGAATGTTTACCTAGCAAAGATGAGTACAAATAATTGCTTTTGAATCATTATATAATTCATATTTTAATTAATTACTTTTAATTATTCTATAATTCGTATTTTTCACTAATTTATACAGGCTTTTATATTTTAAAAAATCAGCAGAATTTAACTACATTTATATTTTGTGTCAAATACATAGCTTTACTTCCATTAACAAAAATATTTAAAATCTGTGACTTGCCTGATCGAACTGGGTAACTTCTTGGCCAGAAGGAATCTGTAGTCCCCAAAGTCTATATTTTTTGGCAACACTAGAAAATTGCAGATCCAAAGGAATCTCAACTATATCAGATCGATTTAGAATTTCAGTATTTCCATAGTCAATGTATCTCACCAGACACTGGGAAAAAATGAGACAAATACTAACACAGAACTTAGATTAACATCTCCAAAGAAACCATCAATTTGCTGCTTTCTGTTAATTACCTGTAATTACCTCAGGGCATTTTACCTCAAATTGATAAAATGTATTTAGAAACAAGACCTCCAACAATATCTTCAGAATAAAGAAAATCCATGGTCCATGAGATCCCAGTAATCTCTGTTTGGTACTAGTTAACTAATAGTACTAGTTACTTATACTAGTTCCAACAGTACCATTTCTCATTATGGTTGTTTTTTTTTTTAAACAGCTAGTAAATAAACATAAATCTATGAAGCTTATGGCTTCTCCTATCTCAAATGTTAAAATCAATTAACATTCCTAAATTCAAGTTGGAAACAGTAAAATCTGAAAAGAAAAGCAAAATTATCAAACTTCCTTGGGTAAAATTAAACCCATCCCAGGTGTTTGACCTAGGAAATGTATCAAAGTCACCCTCACATCCAGCTCTACATTTAGAAAGTAAAAAGAAAAGGAGCTTATCACAAGGTCAAAAGCCATCTTGCCCCTGAATTTTAAAAAAGTTAAAGCCAAGGGGCGCCTGGGTGGCTCAGTCGGTTAAGCGGCTGCCGTCAGCTCAGGTCATGATCCCAGGGTCCTGGGATCAAGCCCCGCATCAGGCTGCTTAGCAGAGCCTGCTTCTCCCTCTCCCTCTGCCGCTCCCCTTCCTTGTGCTCTCTCTCTCTGTGTCAAATAAATAAATAAAATCTTTTAAAAAAAAAAGTTAAAGCAAACACAATATATCATCTCCAGTTGTCAAACTGTGAGGAAAACATCTAATTAGAAAGGTCTATTTCACTAAGATAAACCATTACCTTGGACAGTATTAAATCATGAAATTTTTCTTAAAAAGTTATTCTGAGCGTTACTCAAATTGTTTCATCTTATCATCTCCTTATTACACTAAGAAAAATATCTATAAAATATATACACATGAGAAAATATTTTAAGTCCAGTAAAGCAGATACAGGAAAAAAACAGTAAAGGAAAGCTTACAGAGATGCTTTTACACAGCCTGCCATATGCAATTGCCACCAGCTATTCAGAATCTCATCTCCATAAATCCCCTTAAAATCTCCCTCAAGTTCATAATGTAAAAACTCAAATAGCTAAACACAAAGAAAATTCATCACATTCAACCAAAGCATTAAAAGCAGCAAGTCAATCGTCATTAACAATATGCAAATCAACTAAGCAAAAGATAAAAAGAACTTCTTAAGGACAGATCAAATGTTCTTTTCTTACTCAATCTTAATAGATGAACTTTTTTTTAAAGTTATTTAGCAAGAACCAAACATGATGATTAAGAACCATTGGTCAGTAGGGGAGCCCAGGTGGCTCAGTGGGTTAAGCAGCTGCCTTTGGCTCAGGTCATGATCCCAGCGTCCTGGGATCGAGCCCCGCATCAGGCTCCCTGCTCAGTGGAGAGTCGGCTTCTCCCTCTCCCTCTGCCTGACTCTCTGCCTACTTGTGCTCTCTCTCTCTCTGTCAAATAAATAAATAAAATCTTTAAAAAAAAAAAAATTGGTCAGTAAACATAATCTACAAATTATGTAATCTACTCTTGGACAATCTTCAGTGATTATATGACAACTTAAATTCAGAAGAATATTCCTGAATCTGACCTGGATTTTTTTAAGCAATTCATTTCTTTTCTGTTCACTAGGGGGAAAAAAACATGTTTAATCAATTTATAAGTTCAATTGAACCAGATCTTATTACTACTATGTATAATCAATGAAGGGCTAAATAAGCATCAAATTTTGGAGCCAAAATAATCATTATTCAGGGCAAAAAAAAAAAAAAAACTGAACACTTGTTCCTGCCTTTTCATCACTGATGATTTTCAGTACTTTGCATCTGTACCAACATTTATCTTCAGAAAATAATCCACCATAAATCTATAAAGAGAAAAAGAAAGTAAAATTATTTAGCATTTTAATAATTCAAAGCTTGTTAAGTAGATCAGAATAATGGTTAGCATTTATTAAGCACTTACTATCGGGCAATAAGCACTTTATATATAATAACTTATTTTATTCTCACAGCCATACGAGGTAGGTACATTGTGTTCACCATTATATGCCCAAAGTCATAGCCAGTAAGCAACAGAACCAGGATTCAAAGTCAGGCAATCTGACTCCAGAGTCCATAATGCAATTCTGCTTCACCCCCCCGCCAAAAAAAGAGGAAAGACATAAAAACAAAATTCAAAAAAAAGCATAAGCAATCAGAGTCTTAAAATCATGCTGTTTTAATGTCTAAAGACATAAATGGTACAATTAATTATTCTTAAAATATAAACATGCCAAGTACATGCCACTTAAGTCTAATTCTCAACCATTGGGATCCACGTGTCCTACCAGCCAAGAAAGATTTTTATACTTTTTACTTTATATATAAAGACTCTAGTGCTATTAAATGGATAAAATTAGATAATATCCTTAATACTGAATTTTCATTTAAGTTTATATTTTAATTTAATTATGTTTAATTTAAAAAACAAAGGAAAATTTACATACTTATGTCAATTTCTCAACCTCAGCACTATTGATATTTTGGGACAGGATAATTCTTTGGCAGGGAAAGGGGTCAGGGGCTCTCTCTGTCCTGTGCACTATAGGATAGTTAGCAGCATCTCCCTTGGCCTCTACCTAGATGCCAGTAGCACCCCCTCCAGTTGTGGCAACCAGAAGTGTCTCCAGACATTGCCAAATATCACCTGGGGTGAGTGTGGGGGATACAAAATCACCCTAGGTTGATAACCACTTTAAATCATACATTCTCAATGGGGTAAATCTTATTCCCAAGGAGTGAAAACTGGTTCAGGGGTGGGGGGTGTCTTCAATATTACAATGGTTTGTATCCCTTCAAAGCTGACAACTGACACCTGACAACATAAACAGATATACAGTATATCTGTGGTGTTAATATGTCTTGAGGGGAGGAGAACCATTAGGCGAAAAATGCCTTAGAAGGTCATAATGAGGGGCACCTGGGGGGCTCAGTCGTTAAGCGTCTGCCTTCGGCTCAGGTCATGATCCCAGGGCCCTGGGATCAAGCCCCACATCGGGCTCCCTGCTCGTCGAGAAGTTGGCTTCTCCCTGTCCCACTCCCCCTGCTTGTGTTCCTGCTCTCGCTATCTTTCTCTCTGTCAAATAAATAAATAAAATCTTTAAAAAAGAAAAAAAAAAAGGGCATAATGAAAGGCTGAGGAACACTGATTTAAGTGAAGTATAAAAATTACTTTTAGGTGTATCACTCTGAGGTAGGACAAATTCAGAGATTCTGAAGCAAAAGACATACACATATTAAAATATAAAAATCCTCAACTCCCCAAAGCAACAAAGTACAAATCAATTCAGACAAAATGGATATCTAACAAAGCAAATGTTACAAAGGATAGGTGTGTTCAATTAGCACTTAACTCTGGTTCCCTCAGCTAACACTCAACAACTGGCAGTCAAGAGAGGACACAAATGGCATGGTACACTCTCCCAACCATCTAACTACATTTTTCAGCAAGCAAAAAGGTTTAGTAGCAAAACAGCTGATAATCAACAGCCTTAATCAATTTTAAACTCTGCAAAAGGTCACATTACCTTTAGTTAAGACTTTGTAATAATACGCCATTAAGTTTAACAATTCAATATAAGACAAGTGACAGAGCGCCTGGGTGGCTCAGTGTTAAGCCTCTGCCTTCCGCTCAGATCATGATCCCAGGGTCCTGGGATCAAGCCCCGCATTGGGCTCCCTGCTTGGTGGGAAGCCTACTTCTCCCTCTCCCACTCCCCCTGCTTGTGTTCCTGCTCTCGCTATCTTTCTGTCAAATAAATCAATAAAATCTTTAAAAAATTTAAAAAAAAAGACAAGTGACAGAAATGGGGTATAACTGCAACCCAGTCTAGGTAGGGGTGGGGATACTTAGAATCCAGAAATAGAGCTGGGACTCAACAAAGTTGAAGAATCTGAAGTTCTTGACTCTGTTAGTGTGAATAATCACAACCATCATAAATACAAGTCTATCCCAAAGAGATTTGTCTTTAAAACACAGAGAGTCACCTGGGTGGCTCAGTCAGTTAAGCATCTGCCTTTGGCTCAGGTCATGATCCCGGGGTCCTAGATCAAGTCCCACATGAGGCTCCCTACTCAGCGGGGAGTCTGCTTCTCCCTCTCCATCTGTGCTCTCTCTCTCACAATAAACAAAATCTTTAAAAAATAAATAAATAAATAAATAAAACACAGTCATAACCAAATATTCACTCCCATTGTCCCTGGTTCCAATCTGTTCTCTCACAGCTCCACTATTTATAGCCCATGACCTGTCTACATGATGAGAGGAAGAGAACCAGTCAATCACTATGGAAAATTTATAAAGTATAATCCATTCATAAGTAGCCAGAGGTGGCTGAGTAATCATTTATAAGAAATCCATTATTTAAACTAGTTTGAATTTTTTGTAAAGTAAGTATTTTGCATTCAACAGAGGAAAAGTGGTTATGTCTTAATTTGTAACACTACTAAACACAGTTATAGGCTACAAAGATGCTTTAAAAAAAAAAACCTAAAAATTTACAAATTACACTCCCTTATCCATTCTAATGTTCAGCTACATTCTTTCCTTCTAATTTCTTTTTACATATTTTTATATATACCACTGGGGTTTTAATTATTTTAAAATAAAAATAGAAGGAAATTATTAAAAGAAAATCAAAGTACATCAAAAAGGATAAACGATAAGACTTCCTTCCCAACACTCAACATGGACTGCTGAAAATAATTTTACATTTACACTAATTTTACATATATGCTAAGATATATTTGGTTTTTATTTACACAAATGGGGTCATCTTACATACACTATTTTAACCACCTAATTCCATATCAAAATATAAAACCTAGCCCTCTTATTTAAATAACCAGAGCTGGGGCGCCTGAATGGGTTGAGCATCTGCCTTCTGCTCAGGTCATGATCCTGGGGTCCTGGGATAGAGCCCCACGTGGGGGGGGGGGTCTCTGCTCAGCGGGGGAGCTGCTTCTCCCTCTCCCTCTACCCCTTCCCAGCTCTTGCTCACACGCTCTTTCTCTCTCTCTCTCTCTCTCAAATAAATAAATAAATCTTTTTAAAATAAATAAATAACCAGAGCTTTGAGCTGGGTAATGCAAACAAGGCATTCATGGCACAAAATTTAAAGAGGCACTCACTCTTGCCTTAGAGTGCCTCCTTAAATTTTAATTTTAATTTAAATGCCTCCTCATCACTCTCATACTTTGCTGGTAAGAATGAAAACTGGTTCAATACTTTGCCAAACTATTTGGCCAGTATCTACCCAAGTAAAACATGCCTACTGTATGACTTAGCAATTCTACTCCTAGATATATACTCAAAAGAATTAAGTTAATACATCCAACAAAAGCCTATGTAAGTATTTCATAGTAGCTTAATTCACAGCAGCCAAAAACTGCAAACGATCCAAATGCCTATCAAAGGACAATAAATTGTGGTGTATTACACAATGAAATCTGCATAGCTTAAAAAAGAACAAACTACCAATACACAAGTACGCACGATAATATGGAAGAATCTCAGAAATTCTGTTGGAACTAAAGAAACCAGATATACACCATGAGAGACGATGGACTCTGAAAAACAAACTGAGGGTTTTAGAGGGGAGGGGGGTGGGAGGATGGGTTAGCCTGGTGATGGGTATTGAGGAGGGCACATTCTGCATGGAGCACTGGGTGTTATGCACAAACAATGAATCATGGAACACTTCATCTAAAACTAATGATGTAATGTATGGGGATTAACATAAGAATAAAAAAAAAGAAACCAGATATACACAAAAGAGTAAATACTGTATGATTTAAGAACAAGCAAATGAATCTATGGTGACAGAAGTCAGAATAATAATTAACTCTTGTTAGAGGGACTACTGTCCAAGAATTGACTGAGAAAAGACCTGCAGGCATTTTTCAGGAAGATGGAACTGTATCTTGATCTGGCTGGTGATTATATAGATGCAAACATACGTAAAAATTCATGAAGCTGTACAGCTAAGACATGAACACATTACTGTATTTAAGTTATACCTCAATTTAAAAAAAAGAGAAAAAGATCATCAAACTCTTCTCCATAAAGATTACTTTTACAGATTTTTTTTGTCAATCGGTATCAAAGGCAAGGATTCTATCTTGTTCACCACTGTATTATCAGTGCTTACGACAGTACCTGGTACATAGCATATAGTCCGTAAGTATTTCTGAAAGAATAAATTTACTATAACTACAGTTTACATAAGGTCTAAAAATCTGCCTCTTCTTTTCAAATACATCAAAAATTCCAACAATTATAAAATCTAAGACATAAAGCTATCAAGAGAGATGGAGTAATTATATTCAAGAATATGGCTCACCTTCTTTGGATCAAGATTCCCAAAAACTGAATTGGCATGGGGACAAACTTCAGATAATGAGCAACCAATCTTCATAATGTCCTTATTCCTACTCATACTCTAGAAGAAAGAATAGCTACATTTTAAGATTCAGTAAATTATTATTTGACAGTGTTATATAATTGAAAGTTTTTTTTTCTTTAAGATTTATTTATTTATTTGACACAGAGAGAGAGAGAGTGAGAGAGAGAGCACAAGCAGGGGGGAGCGGCAGGCAGGCAGAGGGAGAGGGAGAAGCAGGCTCCCTGCCAAGCAAGGAGCCTGATGCGGGGCTCAATCCCAGGACCCTGGGATCATGACCTGAGCCAAAGGCAGCGGCTTAACCAACTGAGCCAGCCAGGTGCCCCTATAATTGAGAGTTCTATTAGACTAATACTTAAAAGATTTCGGAGCTTTAGCAATTAAATCAAATTCTTACAGCAGTATTTTTCATAATCCAAATGAGTTCTTTATAAGAAATGGTTCTAGGTATAGAAAATTTTTACTTTGCAGTGAGTTCAAATTACTTGGAATTCAAACTAAGATACCAAATACTATTAAATCATAAGAGGAGGTAACTTTAAACAACTACCTCTGGATTGTACTTTAGATCAAATTCTAATTGCTCAAAATGGACAGCATATTTTAGTCAAATGACATGAGTCTTCTCATATACTTGTTATCGTATAAAGGAAACATGTAAAAAAATTCAAAATGTATATAATCCTCTATACACAAATTCTGCAATCTAGTTAAATAAAATCATTTCTCATGGATGTGGGCTAACAATTTGAAACTCCTTTAGGTGTACACTAGGATTGAACAAATAAGTAAATATACCACAGATAATGAGAGCCAGGAGGAAGAAATTACAATCAAGGGGGAAAGGCTAGTTATGAGCCTACACCGTTAGATTAGAATTGGAAGGTATTCGTATGAATTCATAGTATGCGTGTATGTGTGTGTATACATGTTTGTGTGCATATATATGCATATATGAAAGGAAGACACACAAAAATATAGATGTGTATATGTGTAAGTTTTTATACATATATATTTCCCAGCTCAGTCTGCTGAGAGGGCCTAAAAGCAATGACACTCCAGGACCAATAAGAACACTCAGTGCCCAGATCTTGATTTCTAAAACACCATTCTCCAATAAAAGGAATCAGAGTTCCCTGGAGAGTGGTAGATTTCAGGACTAGGACAGGGAAATAAAAGATGATCCTGGAATTTCTGGTGGTGCCAGAAAGTAAAGTAATGTTCAAAAAGGAAATGGGGACATGTTTAAAGGGCGCAGCAGCCAATGTGAACAATCTCTTGATACCCAAAGCTAGAACAATTCAAACAACAAAACAGTGGTAGTATTGGATTATAACCCATGGAATAAATAGCCATGAGTCTATACTAATTTAAATAATCGAATAAATGAGTGGAGAAGATACAGCTCTTCCTTACAGAAGAATTCCAACTAACAAATGCAGAAGGAATGAGAGAAACAGAAAATAATTAGGCAAAGACCATAGTAATAAATAATAAAATTTGTGGATGAAAAGTTGAAGGAAAACAAGATTAGATAATCTCAATGTATCTCCCTCTAAAGCATTTATTAACTACAAAAGAACAGTAACTTTCAAGTGAAGAAACCCAGCAGTGAGCACCTTAAGCAAGTGGAGCAAGCTCAACATCATCAATAATGATGTCAATATCATGAATCCCCAATATGATACACTAACAAGGACACAGTATCACTTCTGTAGTATTACTGCTAATCTATTTATGAAAAACCATCAAACAAATCTAAACTGAGGGATATTCTATAAAATAACTGACCAGTACTCATCAAAAACGTCAGTCATGAAAGACAAGGATAAATAAAAGAACTATCAAAAGCCGGAGGAGACTAAAAATACATGACAACTAAATACAATGTGGGATCCTAGAACAGAAAAAAGGCAATGAAAAAACAGCTGAAATCTGAATAAGGGCTGAGTTAATAGCACGATACCAATGTTAATTTCCTGGCTTTGATAACTGTATTACGGTTATGTAAAATGTCATCAGTAAGGGAAGCTAGATGAAGAATATAAAGAAAGACTGTACTAACAAAACGACTCACACGTGAAAAAATTCTCAACATCACTTGGCATCAGGGAAATACAAATCAAAACCACAATGAGATACCATCTCACACCAGAGTGGCAAAAATTAACAACTCAGGAAACAACAAATGTTGGCAAGGGTGCAGACAAATGGGAACCCTCTTACACTGTTGGTGGGAATGCAAACTGGTATATCCCACTCTGGAAAACAGTATGGAGGTTCCTCAAAAAGTTAAAAATAGAACTACCCTATGATCCAGCAATTGCACTATGAGGTATTTACCCAAAGGATACAAAAATACAGATTTAAAGGGGCACATGCACCCCAATGTTTATAGCAGCAATGTCACAAAAGCCAAAGTATGGAAGGAGCCCAGATGTCCATCAACAGATGAATGGATAAAGGTGATATATATATACATACATATATATATGTACACCCATACATATGTATGTACATACACACACACACACACACACACACACACTGGAATATTACTCAGCCATCAAAAAATGAAATCTTGCCATTTGCAATGACGTGGATGGAACTAGAAGGTATTATGCTAAGCAAAATAAGTCAGAGAAAGACAAATACCATATGATTTCACTCATATGTGGAATTTAAGAAACAAAACAGATGAACATAGGGGAAGGGAAGGAAAAATACAATAAGATAAAAACAGAGAGGGAGGCAAACCATAAGAGGCTCTTAATCACAGGAAACAAACTGAGGGTTGCTGGGGGGAAGTGGGATGGGCTAACTTGGGTGATGGGCATTAAGGAGGGCACATGAAGTAATAAGCACTGGGTATTATAGAAGACTGATGAATCAATGAACTCTACCTCTGAAACTAATAATACACTATATGTTAACTAAATTGAATTTAAATAAAAAAATTTTTAAAAAGACTGTACTAATTTTACGAACATCCTGTAAGTCTAAAGTTATCCCAAAATAATTAAATATATATATATGTTCTTAAAAAATATATCAGCAAAATATTCAGTAAGGCTAGAAAGAACATGATTATCTCTGATGACTGAAAAGAAACTCTGAAAGAGCCATTCCAAAGACGTCGTGATAAGTATCAGTATCACCATAGAGTAAAAAAGGGAACTGAATTTAAACTGATCCAAAACACATTACGCAGCCTTTGTGAATAAAACCCCAGAATTAACTCTCTCAAGTTCAGAATACACCAAAATATTCTGCATAATTAGATCTTATAGCTATCTGGACTAAAATAAATGGAAGCTCTTTCTTTCAAATAAAGGTGAAGGTCAAACACTTAGGATTCCTTCAGCTGCTACTCATCCCACTGGGCCTACCAAAAATTCTGCAGTGTACTCATATAAGTGGCTTATAGGGCAGAAATCCAGTGGCAGAAAAGCAGAGAATATACATGAGCAGATCTTCATCTTGATCTGCCTCCACATATTAGTAAATCTCTATTTATTCTTTATTTATAGCTATTCCAACTCCAATCAAATTTTACAATTTGTGCATCTGCCTTTGGCTCAGGTCATGATCCCAGGGTCCTGGGATGGAGCTCCATTCCGTCAGGCTCCCTGCTCAGTGGAGAGCCTGCTTCTCCCTCTGCTGCTCCCCCAGCTTGTGCTCTCTCCCTCCCTCTCTCTCAAGTAAATAAAAAAATTTTACAATTTGCTTCTTGAAATAATCATTCATTTCATATGAATGCCACTAGTAGTTTTAACCCTTAATCTCATCCATTTATAACATGTTTCCTAACTTCTTAAAATGTTTAAATTTCTACAAGTCCTCAACTTCGTGGCTGAAATAAGAGGTTGGCAAATTTTGGCCTCTGCCACTTGATTTGGTAAATAAAGTTTTAATGGATCACAGCTCCATCTATTTGTTTACATACTATCCATGGATGCCTTTGCACTACAACAGCAGAGTTGACAGAGTTGAATAGTTGCTATAGACTATATGGCCCACTATCCTTAAAATATTTACTATCTAATCTTTTACAGGAAAAGTTTGCTGACTCCTGGTTTAAATTCAGCTCCAAATTCAATCAACAGCTTCACATAGCAGTCAGCTGAAATCAAAGTTTATAGCTGCACTGACCAATTACAACAGCCAATACCCACTTTAAATAGAGCTGGTCTGATTTGAGATATATAAGTCTAAAATACATACCAGACTTCAAAACATAATATGAAAAAGGAAAATTAAACATCTATAAATATATCTGTGCTGACTGCATTTTGAAATATTTTAGATATACTGAGTTAAATAAAATATATTTAATAAAACTGATTTCACCTATTTCTTTTTACTTTTTTATGTGTCTGCTAAATTTCAAATTACTTATGTGGCTCACGTATTTCTACTGAACAGTGATGATCTAGAAAAATTTTTTTTGTAAGAGATGGGGGAGGGTTAGAGATTCTTTTTTTTTTTTAACTTTGGTATTTTTTTTTTTAAGATTTTATTTACTTATTTGAGAGAGAGAGAGAGAGAGAAGGGTCAGAGGGAGAAGCAGATGCCCCGCTGAGCAGGGAGCCTGATGCGGAACTCGATCCTGGGACTCTGGGATCTTGACATGAGCCGAAGGCAGTCACTTAACCGACTGAGCCACCCAGGTACCCTTAGAGAATTTTTTTTTTTAAGATTTTATTTATTTATCTGAGAGAGAGAGCGTGCGCACAAGCAAGGGGAGCAGAAGAGGGAGAGGGAGAAGCACGCTCCTCACTGAGCAGAGAGGCTGATGCGGGGCTTGATCCCAGAACCCCAGGATCATGACCTGAGCCACCCAGACGCCCCTTGAGAATCTTAAGCAGGCTCTACACCCAGCATGGAACCCAATGCGGGGCTAGATTTCACAACGCCGAAACCAAGAGTACACGCTAAACCAACTGAGTGGCCCAGGTGCCCCTAGAAAATCTTATTTAAGCTATGAGCTTAAACATATTGATCATCTAACCTGGGACACAGTTGCTATTAATACAGTGACAACAGGCAGAGAATATGTGCACACCCTTTAGAAAATATCTGCATAAGCAGAGACATATTTACCACAAGTGTTCTATGAGTATCAGCCTTCTACGGTGTTTTCTATATAGAAGTAAAAACTCTGGGTTAATCATATTCTTCTACAAGTTTTCTTCTCACAAACTCTATTTCCCATATTGTCAAATCATTCCACCCCACAAGAGTTCTTATACCACAGGAAGTATAAACAAATGTCATTCCCTTCCCTCCCACATAATATGTAGTTCACAAAATTAAAAATTAGTGAGTAATTGTATGCATTAGAGGGATTCACCTTAAATTCTGGAACATAAGCATTTTGGTGCTTTGCTTTATATTTAAAACTAAGCAAAGTTATCTGACTTGAAGTCTGACAGTAGGAAATTATAAATGTTCCACTAGTGCTTCCAATTTTATGATGAAAAAGCTTCTGTATCTCAAACTCAAAATTAAGCCATTAAAAAAAAAATGACATTTGAAAACATAGTATCTTTTAAGAAACAATATTATAAAAGACCCCTAGATGGGGCTGTAACTTCACAAATACAAGTACCTTGGCATATTCAGTAATTTATGCAGCCTAGATTATTGGTATTAAATTGAGTGTAATTCTGAAACCACAATTATAATCTTGCTTTCTTTTTTAAGTCAGTGTATTATGAGTACACTACTCGTAACTCAGGTAGTAAGTCTCAGCTGTGGCCATTTGTCTTCTAATAATGTCTTGTGTTAAATAATACTAAGAACAATTAGGCACTCTTATATGGAACCAGAAAAGATCCCAAATAGCCAAAGGAATGTTGAAAAAGAAAACCAAAGCTGGTGGCATCACAATCCTGGACTCTAAACTTTATTACAAAGCTGTAATCATCAAGACAGTATGGTACTGGCACAGAAACAGACACATAGATCAATGGAACAGAATAGAGCCCAGAAATGGACCCTCAACCCTATGGTCAACTAATCTTCAACAAAGCAGGGAAGAATATCCAACAGAAAAAGACAGTCTCTTCAACAAATGGTGTTGGGAAAATTGGACAGCCACATGCAGAAGAATGAAACTGGACCACTTTCTTACATCATATATGAAAATAAACTCAAAATGGATGAAAGACCTAAATGTGAGACCGGAATCCATCAAAATCCTAGAGGAAAATACAGGCAGCAACCTCTTCGACCTCGGCCACAGCAACTTCTTCCTAGAAACATCGCTAAAGGCAAGGGAAACAAAGGCAAAAATGAACTATTGGGACTTCATCAAGATAAAAAGCTTTTGCACAGCAAAGGAAACAGCCAACAAAACCAAAAGACAACTGACAGAATGTGAGAAGATATTTGCAAATGACATTATCAAAGGGCTAGTATCCAAAATCTATAAAGAACTTATCAAACTCAACACCCAAGGAACAAATAATCCAATCAAGAAATGGGCAGAAGACATGAACAGACATTTTTCCAAAGAAGACATCCAAATGGCCAACAGACACATGAAAAAGTGCTCAACATCGCTCGGCATCAGGGAAATCCAAATCAAAACCTTAATGAGATACCACATCACACCAGTCAGAATCGCTAAAATTAACAAGTCAGGAAACGACAGATGTTGCCAAGGATACGGAGAAAGGAGAACCCTCCTACACTTCTGGTGGGAATGCAAGCTGGTGCAGCCACTCCGGAAAACAGTATGGAGGGTCCTCAAAAAGTTGAAAATAGAGCTACCCTATGACCCAGCAATTGCACAACTGGGTATTTACCCCAAAGATACAAATGTGGTGATCCAAAGGGGCACCTGCACCCCAGTGTTTATAGCAGCAATGTCCACAATAGCCAAACTATGGAAAAAGCCCAGATGTCCATCAACAGATGAATGGATAAAGAAGATGTGGTGTATATATATACAATGGAATACTACGCAGCCACAAAAAAAATTAAATCTTGCCATTTGCAACGACATGTATGGAACTAGAGGGTATTATGCTAAGCGAAATAAGTCAGTCAGAGAAAGACAATTATCATATGATCTCACTGATATGCCAAATTTAAGAAACAAGGCAGAGGATCATAGGGGAAGAGAGGAAAAAATGAAACAAGACAAAACCAAAGAGGGAGACAAACTGTAAGAGACTCTTAATCTTAGGAAACAAACTAAGGGTTGCTGGAAGGGAGGGAGTGGAGGGACGGGATGGCTAGGTGATGGACATTGGGGAGGGTATGTGTTGTGGTAAAAGCTGGGTGTTGTGTAAGACTGATGAATCACAGACCTGTACCCCTGAAGCAAATAATTCATTACATGTTAATTTAAAAACTTAAAGAAAAGAATAAGTAGGCACTGAGAATGACAAGGGTATCTATATTCTGGGGTTTTTATTTTTGTTGGGCAGGACCTGGATTAGTGGAGGAAGGGGAGGAAGTAGAGGGAGGAGGAAATCAACCAGGCTATTTACCTGGGCCCAAAATGTTACTGCATCTTCCACATGACTTCCAACCACATCTTCAACTAAAACCAAATCAAAATGCAATGAAAATTAGAAATTAATCAAGATCATGTAGCTCTTACATCCAAAAATAATTTTGTGTCAGTACCTTTACTGTAATGCATATCTTCACCCATCTGGACAATTCCTGAAAAACTAAAACAATTCAATACCTTGAATTAAGTTCAATAATCTGTCCATTCACAGTGAATAAAGACTATATAATGTTCGAATTCCTACAAGTATGTTTTGTTCCTAAATAACCAAATTTCAAACTCTATCAAAAATGACCTCAGAGATCTTATTCAATAATTAATTCAAATAAAATAATTCAAATAAAATTTGAATATACTATATTCTGCAATTTCATCATATACAACCTATCTTTACAATTCTCTCTTCAGCCAAGCTTTTACAAATTTACACTGTAGTGGGTATCCAGGCATATTGTGATCAGTTACATAAATCAATACTTCAGAACAATGTGCATATTCTTTAAAAATAATTGATGCCCTCCCAAAAGGAGAGCAGGACTTCTACAATTCAAACAAAAAGAAACACTGCAAATATATAGAGAACAAATGCTTCAGACTGGTAATCAATTTTATTTAAAAGGTAAGTGGTGTCTACTTTTGAAAATACCCTGCAATCAAAGGCTGCAAAATGAATCAAATTTTGCCCATTACATCAAAACTAATTTTCATTACATAATATACTTTCCAACTCCAAAATGTTTCAAAATAAATGGTGACTAGTTTATGATTTTATCATTAATACACTAAAATACTGCACTTTACGTGCCTAAGTGTTAGTTCTTTGAAGGAAACTGAAAATACAGACTTTTTAAGAGCTTTAAAAGTTAAGAACAGTGCTACACCAAAGTTTCAAATGCTCGCTCAACTATGGAAAGAGAAAAATTAACTGTCACGGAAAAAAAAGTCAAAGAAAAATTTTTTTATTCTGATTTTTGTTACACCTTAAAAAGTTTTTTTCACATACATTAAGCACCATGAGTATATCTTCAAAACAAGTATCGTTCCTCCACTAATGGTTAAAAAAAAAATTTTTTTTTTTAGTTGAGCAAAAAGTTGTAATACCAAGTTGGAATCTGCTTGGAGAGACTACATTTCTCTGGACGCCAGTGCCTTAAATTTAGTAAAACTGAAAATGTCTGGAAATCCCAAGAAACTATAGTTTCATCTCAAAACCTTATTTTAAAAGTGGTCAAAAAGACTTTACCCACGATAATTATGAAGAAACTGATGCAGCACCTGCTTCCCGCAAAATTGGATTACCAGATGGCACTTCCAAAACTCCAATTCATGGCAAGAATTTGGAATGAGTGAGTCCAGGTCGCTCCTCGACCCATTTTATGAGGGATTTTGAAGTTTAAATGGCACAGAATCTGCGGGAAAAGAGAATTCCACCCCACTACAGGCCTGAGACCCCATCTCCACTAAGAACACTCAGGCCGGAGTTATCTGCAAGCCGGTTTCGCCTCCCAGCACCACAACTCAAAAGCTGGGCTACCAGCCACCCTCAGAAGTAGGCGGGCGATTCCAAGGCTGAGGAAGGCCAGGAAATGGGCCTCGCCCCATACTTGGGAGACTTAAACGGCAACCGTGGGTAAAAGACGGTACTTGAAGCGGCCGCCATCGAACCTACCAAAATGACTACTACTGACCTCACATTTTCCGCCACAGAAGTTCTAGAAAAGTGCCCTCGGCCCCACATACTAGGCCCTCAGCCCTCCGCCTGCCACCGCAGCTAGCCGTCAGCCCCCTGCCGCGCACGTGCAAAGACTTACCACGCGCGCAGAGGCCGCTGAGGGGCTGCGCTGCGCTTGCGCGCACGGCGCTGCGCCATCACCCAGGCTTGCTGGGAGCCGCCGCGTCGTTCCCGTGGTCACAAAGCCTGGGGCCCTGGGCGGGGGCGCGGCGGGGCGGGCGGTGGAGCGCGCTGGGCGGGGCGCGCTGGGCGGGGCCACGCACGTGGAGAGCTTTGCGCAGAGTCTGTGCAGGCCAGGGACTTCTGGGCCTCTTCGCACCTCACGAGCTGGCTTGATGGCAGCTTTAATTTACAAGGCTTCAAATTATGACGGAAGATAGTGGTTTGGATTTTATAGTCTTTACTAATTTGCTCACGCTGATTTCGATTTTAAAAGAGCCGAATTAGAAGTATCCCCAACACTCGTTTTACAAGATGGAAAGTGAGTTCAGTAAATGAAAATGTAATTTTTAGATTAGTAGCTTTACAAGCATTTCTCAGCCCAACCTTGGCATTAGAGCCTTCTCATGTTGCAGTTTTTTCACGACACTAAGGGACAAAAAGTAATATAGCAGTTATATGCAGATCTTATACTTTGTGGCAAACCTTGCACAACAGTTGAAAATTATCCCCGTTAATTTTTAGCAGCTTGAAAAAAAATTTTTTTTAGCAGCTTGATTAAGTTATGATTGACATGCAATAAACTGCAGGTACTAACATTGCATAATTTGATAAGTGAACATATGTATACATCCTCACAAGGTAACAATCATTTCCTTCACACACCCCCCAAAGTTTCCTCATGCCCCTGCAAAATACTTGGCTTCCCCCACCTACCCCATATGACAGGTTCTGCTTTCTGTCACCCTAAAGTTTGAATTTTCTAAAATTTGATGTTAATGATACCATGCTGCAAGTACATTCTGATTTCTTTCATCAGTGTTGATTCATCCATTTTGTCATGTGTATCAACAGTTTATTGCTCATTATTGCTGATTATTGCTCATTATTGCTCATTATTGCATGAATATAATACAATTTATCTACCTTTTGATTAGACATTTTTTTAACTTTTTTTTTTTTTTTAGGTAGGCTCTATGCCCATCGTGGAGCCCAAAACCAGACTTGAACTCACGACCCTGAAATCAAGAGCTGAGATCAAGGGTTAGACATTTAAGGGACTGAGCCATCCAGGTGCCCCTTGGTAGACACTTAGATTGTTTCCAGTTTGGGATTGTTTCAAATAAAGCTGCTATGAACAATCATCTGCAAATCTTTGTATGGGCATAGGCTTTCATTTCTCCTGGGTTAATACCTAGGAGTAGAATGGTGGAGTGATATTGTTATGTGTTCAAATTTTTAAGAAACTGGTAGACAGGGTTGTGAGTTCAAATCCCACATTGGGTTCCACACTGGGTGTGGAGCCTACTTAAAAAAAAAAAAAGAAAGAAAAGAAACTGCTAGGCTGTTTTTACAAAGTAGATTTACTATTTTATATGTGCACATATAAAAGTTTAAGAGTTTTTAAGAGTTCTAGTGGCTCCATATCCTCACCATCATTTTATATGTTCATTGTTTTTAAGCTCAGACATTTATGTACAATGGAATCTCCTTGCAGTTTTAATTTGTATTTCTCTGTTAACTAAAAATGTTGACCATCTTTTAGTGTTTATTTTCCACCCGTACATCTTCTTAGATAAATTGTCTGTTCAAACTTGTTCCCATTTTTTAAATGAACTATTTTCTTACTAAGTTTTGCAGTTCGTTATACTGTGGATATAACTCCTTCAAATTTGCAAATATTTTCTCCCAGTTTGTAGCTTATCTGTTCGTTCTCTGAAAATGGTATTTCAAAGAGCAGAAGTTCTTAATTTTTATGAAGTCCAATTTATAAGTTTTGTCTTTTATGGATCATGCTTATGTGTTGTATTTAAGAAATCACCAGAGGGGTGCCTGGGTGGCTCAGTTGGTTAAGTGACTGCCTTCGGCTCAGGTCATGATCCTGGAGTCCTGGGATCGAGTCCCACATCAGGCTCCCGGCTCAGTGGGGAGCCTGCTTCTCCCTCGGACCCTCTCCCCTCTCATGCTGCTTCTCACTCTCTCTCTCAAATAAGTGAATAGAATCTTTAAAAAAAAAAAAAAGAAAAGAAAGAAGAAATCACCAGCTAACCCAATTCACAAACGTTTTCTATATTTCCTTCTAGAAGTTTTATATGTTTAATTTAGGCTTTGTTTAGATCCATAATCCTTTTTGAGTTCACTTTTGTATAAGATGCAAAGCATGAATCAAAGTGTATATTTTTGCATTTGGACGGCTAGTTTTTCCAGCACCATTTGTTGAAAATGCTATTATTTTTCCATTGAATTGCCTTGACATCAGTGTCAAATATCAATTGACTGTATTTGTGTAGGACTATTTCTGGATTCTCTATTCTATTACACTGATCTATTTGCTTTCTTTAATCTTTCTTTAACCACATCATCTTGATTTCTGTAGTTTTATAATAAGTCTTAAAGATAGGTACTGAAAGACTTCCAATCTTATTCTTTTTCAAAGTTGTTTTAGCTTTGCAATTCTGTTTGAATTTTAGAATTCACTTGTCAATGTCTACATACACACATGAAGTCTGCTGAGATTTTTATTGGAATTACATTGAATCTATACATCTGTTTGAAAATTGACATCTTAACAATATTGAGTCTTATGATCTATGAACATTGTATATATCCCCATTTATTTAGATATTCCTTTATTTCTCTGAGCATGTTTTGTATTTTTCTTTTTTTTTTTTTTTTTAAAGATTTTATTTATTTATTTGAGAGAGAGAATGAGAGACAGAGAGCATGAGAGGGAGGAGGGTCAGAGGGAGAAGCAGACTCCCCGCCGAGCAGGGAGCCCGATGCGGGACTCGATCCTGGGACTCCAGGATCATGACCTGAGCCGAAGGCAGTCGCTTAACCAACTGAGCCACCCAGGCGCCCTTTGTATTTTTCAATATAAAAGTTTTGTACATCTTTTGTCTAATTTACCCCTCAGGATTTTTTATGTTATTGTAAATGGTATTATTTTCTTAATTTCAATTTCTAGTTGTTTTGTTGTGAGTATATAGAAATATAATTTTTGTATATTGATCTTATTTTCTGCATCCTTGCTAAATTCACTTATTATTTCTAGTGAGTTTCTTTTTTTTTTTTTTTAAAGATTTTATTTATTTATTTGACAGAGACACAGCGAGAGAAGGAACACAAGCAGGGGGAGTGGGAGAGGGAGAAGTAGGCTTCCCACTGAGCAGGGAGCCTGATGCGGGGCTCGATCCCAGGAACCTGAGATCATGACCTGAGCCGAAGGCAGACGCTTAACGACTGAGCCACCCAGGTGCCCCGAGTTTCTTTTTTAATATATTTAATAGGATTATCTACATATATGATGTCATATGCAAATAAAGACTTTTTTTCTTTTCCAATCTGGGTATCTTTTATTTCTTTTATCTTTCTTTACTGCAGTGGCTAGAACCTCCAGTAGGTTGAATAGAAGTGCTGAGAGCAGTCATCCTTGCCAAGTTCCTAATCTTAGGAGGAAAGCATTTGGCTTTCGGTGTTAGATATGATTTAACTGTGGGTTTTTAGTAAATACCCTTTATCAGATTGAAGAAATTACCTTAATTCTTAGTTTGCTGAGAGTTTTTATCTTGAATGTGTGTTAAATTTTGTCAAATACTCATACACCTATTGAAGTGATCATGTAGTTCTTTTTAGTTGGTTAATATGATGAATTCCGTTAATTTTCAAATGTTAAGCCAAACTTCTATTCCTTGGATAACACCCACTCGATCATGATGTATTTCCTTTTTACATACTCTTGTATTATATTTGCTAAAATTGTTAAGAATGTTTGCATCTATGTTTGAGAGCAATTAATCTGAAACTTTCTTTTCTTGTTATGTCTTCGTCTGGTTTTCATATCTGAGTAATGCTGCCCACATAGAGTAAGTTGTAAAGAATTCCCAACTTCAATTTTCTGGAAAAGGCTATATAGAATTAGTAACCTTTAATCCTTAAATATTTGGTAAAATTTTTTTTTAATGATTTTATTTATTTGACAGAGAGAGACACAGTGAGAGAGGGAACACAAGCAGGGGAAGTGAGAGAGGGAGAAGCAGGCTTCCCGCGGAGCAGGGAGCCCGATGCGGGGCTCGATCCCAGGACCCCAGGATCACGACCTGAGCCGAAGGCAGACGCTTAACGACTGAGCCACCCAGGTGCCCCAATATTTGGTAAAATTTACAGTGCAGCCATTTGGGCCTGGAATTTTCTTTGTGGGAAAGTTATTATGTACAAATTAGTTTCTTTAATTGATATATGGGATAATAGTATACAATACAGTAATCAGGTTATCTATTTATTATTGAATGAGCTTAAGTTTTTGTATTTCAAGAAAATTTATCTATTTCCGTCTAAGTTGTAAAATTCATTGGCATGAAGTTATTTATAACATTCCCTTATTATCCATCTAATATCTGTAGAATATGTAGTGATGTCATCACTCTCATTCCTAACATTGATTATTTGTATGTTCTCTTTCTATCCTTTGCTGATCAGTCTAGCTGTTACCAATTTACTGGTCTTCTCAAAAAACCAGTGTTTTGTTTTATTCATTTTCTCTATTGCATTTCTGTTCTCTATTTCTGCTCTGGTCTTTACTATTTCCTTTTTCTTATTTATTTTATTTGCCCTTCTTTCTCTGGTTCCTTAAGGTGAAAACTGAGGTCACTTATTTGTGATCTTTCTTTTCTGATATAGGCATTTGGTGCTATAAATTTCCCTCTATGTACTGTTTTAGCTGAATCCCACAAATATTGTTATGTTTTCTTTTCATTCAGTTAAAAGTACTTTGATTCCTTTATTTTTTTTTCTTTGACCCATGGATTATTTAGATATGTATTATATAACTTTGCAATTTTTGGAGATTTCCCAGATATCTGTTATTGATCTCTAATTTAATTCCATTGTGGTCAGAGGACATCATGATCTGAATCATGTTAAAAGTACTGAGACTTGTTTTGTGACCTAGAATATGGTCAGTCTTAGTAAATGTTACCTGTGCATTTAAAAAAAAAAGAATGGGTATTCGATTATTGGGTTGAGTGTCCTATAAATGTCAATTACACAAAGTTGGTTAATAGTTGTTCAAGTCTTCTAGAGCCTCACTGACTTTGGGCCTACATAACACTTTGGTCAAGGGAGGCCCCTGGGTCATTAACTCTGACCCAAGCCTGCAACATCTGAGAAGTATCTGGGGCATGAAGCAAGAGCTATCAATGTAGGTCCAAGGATTCTATCAGCTTCTAAGTATATCTATCCCAATTATGTATATTTAGTTACTTCAGAAATAAAGAGTGGGGCCACACCCATTATACCCACTGGGATGGACTTTGGTCAGGACTCCATTTATCACTGGTCTTGCATAAAACCAGAGGACCACAATTGTGTTTTGGGTCCTTTGGGATCCATATTAGCTCAGACCTTATATCCAGAAGTCCTTGGTTGAAAATCTGAGTATTCTTCTTTCTCCACTGCATAGTTACCCTGGTAAATGGCTGCTCCTTTGGGGAAGGATCAAGGTGATGTTTATCATATACACTTGAGGACCCTTCCTCAAGGGATTCTGAGCTTTCCCTTCCATCAGTGCCTGAGATCTGAAAACTAGTTGCTAGTAGTTATACAAGTGGATATACAAGTCAAGTAGCATCCTAATCAGCTGTCCTTCTGTCTTGCCCTTTGGAACATCATGATCTTAAACTCCTTCACAGATCCATGCCTTGGTACCCATTAATTATGTTCACTGGGCATCTCACAGTTAGGTTCCACAACGTGGCCTTCCACCTTTCTGCATCCCATCATCTACCCTGATATCAAAGAGCCCAGGATCATGGCAGCATCTGCTACCATCAATTCGAGCCTGTAGAGGTCAGCCACAGCCACGCTTCTCAAAGTTGCCAGTTCACTCTTCACCATTACATTGTTTATTGCCTTACTTATGTCATCTGAGCCTTCCCAGGAAAAACACTCAAGTGGTAGCTTCTCAAGTTTCAAACAACAAATCCACTCTAACACTGCAACTTCCCTGAGCTTTATGACCCCTTCTTCAATACCATGCCAAATAAATTCTAGCATTTCCACCATATCTTCTAGATGCCATCCTAGTAGTATGTTAGGACCAAATCCAGATATCTAAGGTATTAAAACCCAAGTCAGGAGTTTAAGTGCTACCATGTTACTCTCTCCTATCAGGCCTTATATTCCATCCCCCTCCAACACCCTTGAGAACTACTCCCATGCATGTTTCCTGGGTTCCTGCCAATACATTTTGACCAGAACCTGCAGTTCATTCAGACTGTAACTTATCCTCCTATAGAAAGGACTGTATTTCCCCACTTAGGGTATGCTGAGACTGGATCCTAGTCTTCGGTATGGAGTTAAGGAGAGGTAGCAGGGGTGAGTCTTGAGGAGGACAAGTATCATCTTACAATGCAAGTGCCCCAGATAAATTCTTTGCAGGGTCTCCAAGCAAGTGAAGACCGCTCTCCATCAGCGAAGTGGAGGAGGGGAGACCATTTCTGTGGCTCAGAGAATCAAGGCAACATGAGGGTTCAAGATTCTGAGGCTCACCAACACAAATGTTCCCATCCTATGATTCAACATTACAGTCTTTTCCTGTCAGCACGCTGACTGTTGGAGGAGATAATCGAGGCTGCGTCTTCAATTTCCTTTGCACCCTTGCCACCTTTACTATTTGGACTGGACTGTCAGCACATATTGCCAGCATTGACGAGGCAATTTTCCTTAAAAGGTGCTATAGAGGCAGTCTGGCTTTCACAGCATGGCTGGACCTAAATAGCTAACAGGAACCTATGTCATTTTCTTTTTTCAAGGTTGTTAAAGCAGTTAACAATAACTAACCAACACTTTCATCTTTATAATTTCCATTAGTCCCATTCCACCGTAATGCCACAGCTACTATATAACCTAATACTTCACCTTCCGCCCGCACTCTACCCAAATCCAGTACAGTAACCGTGACCCATCCACATGACAGGAGTTCTCACTATGCCATTTACCACTAGCTGTGGTCTTTACTGTCATCTGTCCAGTGAATGATCCAGTCACAGAATCGCATCCAGAGGGTTTGCTTCCTAAGGCCATTCCTGGTACCCATCTTGGCCTGGGTTTACCCACCACCCAAAAGCAAAGCCTAAGACAAATACTCACATACAGGTATTTATTTGAGAAGTAATCTGAGAGAACCTGAGGGATCAGAAAGGGAGAAATTAGCGAAAGCTAACGTGGTAAGAATGTATTACAAAGTTGGCCACTGCTATGGGTGACTGGTACTCAATCCCAGGGGATTTTCTGAGGAAACTTATGAAAGGCATCTCAGAATTCTCCTCCTAGCAGATGGGAGAGAGAGCATTTACCCATAAATCAAGGGTGGTCCCAAGGTCATTAACTCCCCCATATCTTTCATACATCTGTGATGCAGAAGGGCTGCAGTAGGCATCCCAAGCCACACCGTCAGAGGATCCCTAGAGAAAAAAAAGCAAGGGAATCATGAGATGTTCTCAAGATGAAATGCCATCAAATGGCTTCCATGAGAAGCTGTCAGAAGCCTGCCTGAGGCTTTCCCTCTCCCACAATACCTCGCACTCTTCCTTTCCAACCAGGGCCCGGCAGAATGGCTCCCGCAAAGAAGGGTGGCGATAAGAACGGCCGTTCTGCCATCAACGAGGTAGTGACCAGAGAATACACCATCAATATTCACAAGCGCATCCATGGAGTGGGTTTCAAGAAGCGTGCCCCTCGGGCACTCAAAGAGATCCGGAAATTTGCCATGAAGGAGATGGGAACTCCAGATGTGCGCATTGACACCAGGCTCAACAAAGCTGTCTGGGCCAAAGGAATAAGGAATGTTCCATACCGTATCTGTGTGCGGTTGTCCAGAAAACGTAACGAGGATCAAGATTCACCACTGGATGGGGCGCCTGGGTGGCTCAGTTGGTTAAGCGACTGCCTTCGGCTCAGGTCATGATCCTGGAGTCCCAGGATCGAGTCCCGCATCGGGCTCCCTGTTCAGCAGGGAGTCTGCTTCTCCCTCTGACCCTCCCCCCTCTCATGCTCTCTATCTCATTCTCTCTCTCATATAAATAAATAAAATCTTTAAAAAAAAAAAAAAAAGATTCACCACTGGTTACCTACGTATCTGTCACCACTTTCAAAAATCTAGACAGTTAATGTGGATGAGAACTAATCACTGATTGTCAAATAAAGGTATAAAACTGGAAAAAAAAAAGAAGCCTGCCTGGAAGTGTTTCACAGCAGTCCTGGAGTAAGAGGTGGGCCAAGAGGTGGCACACAAGAAGTTCAATACAGTTACATACAATGCATAATCAACAAAACAACTTAAAAATCAGTAGACACCACTAGAAAATGATTATATAATTTTTAAATACAGTTTTTATTTAAAAACATAAGATTACAACATTTAAAAAATAAAAAATAGGGATTTTAACTTACTATTTTTAAACAACGCTCCTTATATATTTGTTCAAAACCCAAAATAACATACTTAATTTTTTAAATACCCTCAGAAAGTTAAATTATGACAGACTAAAAACAGTTACTGTATTTTCAGGTTTTGACTAATATGAAAATAACCTCATTTGTTAGGAGAGATAAAAAGTATATACAAAATATTAAATCATGAACTTTGATAAAAGTAACAAAGTATTTTCACTTGTTTAAATAAATTAAGGAAAAAACCAAAATGACATTTTTACATAGTAAAAGAAGGAAATAATTTGAGAGAAAATAAACTGCATTATATTTAAATAAACACAAACAAGACCTATTTGGATGATGGTTTTAATTTTCCCAATAGTCTTCATGAAGGTTTTGTACTTGATGGCAATGATGCTTTTCCTTTCTGCTTAGCAACCTTTTCCATTTTTATCTGTAAAATTAAAATATTTGTTGATAAAATAATTTGTAAAACATTCTAAAGAAAAAAAGGTTGTACACACCTTATTTGATTCATGTCTCATTCATCACAGCCATTTCATACACTTATTTAGCAGTGATTAAGCTTCCAAAATCTAAAGCAAAATCTAATAGTCGAAGGGACCTAATTGCATTTTTAAAATATGGTATGATTTCAACTTTGCAGAAACATTTTAATAAAAATAACATATAGGGAATATTGTTTTGGAGAAAATTAATAAGTTAACTTAAATGCCACTAAAAAAATTGTTTTATGAAAGCCTAAATATCTAACCTTAATCCAGTCTATGCACATTCCCTAAAGAACACACCTAATGCAGCTGGATAATCTCTGGAACATGGACTGCTTTAAGGATAGTTTCCTATAATTCTGGTTTTTACATTTCCACAGTTACTTCCCTGAAGGTTGCCCTCCAGTGTAACTGAAGCAAAGAAGCAGCTTACATACCCTAAGTAGTGGCCTTCTGACCTTTAGAAACATTGAAATCCTTTCTATGGGAAAAAAGACCGCAGAGAACACAAAGCCCACTTGCCTCTTACAATTCCCAGAGGCAGCACCCACTGCCTTATCCCTGTAAGAGAAAGGGACAGAAAGTATGGGGCATGGTAGGTGGAGGGCCTCCTACCTTCTAAGGTGATAGGAATAATATCAAGAAACCAGAGAGGACCTAGTAAAACCAGTCTATCCAATCTCCTCAAATTGTAAATAATAACTTCCCAATAATAAAATGTATATATCTCACCTCCCTCTCATCCCCATTTTTCCCCCTCTCTCTCTCCTCTCTGAGTTGGTTGGGACCCTCATTCAAAAACCCTACATTCATATCACTCTTTTATACTATATTAGTCAAAAGGTCATCTGAAGGACCCCCAAAGGAATACCCTATACTAAGGCAAAGATTATAGGCTTTGGACTCACCAACAGTTTTCTCATTTGGAAAAAAAAAAAAAAAAAGGCCACAGTAATAGGTACTTCTCAGGATTGTTCTAAAAGTATGAATGAGATCATATATATAATCCAGGTACTTAATAAGCAATCAACAAATGCTAGTCCCTTTTCCTCTCTCATTTAGGGCCAAGTGTTAGATTTATAGTAACATCAAAAAAGGGACAAGATGCTAGGGGCACCCGGGTAGCTCAGTCGTTAAGCGTCTGGCTTCGGCTCAGGTCATGATCCCAGGGTCCTGGGATCGAGCCCCGCATCGGGGTCCCTGCTCAGTGGGAAGCCTGCTTCTCCCTCTCACACTCCCCAGTGCTTGTGTTCCCTCTCTCTGTCAAATAAATAAATAAAATCTAAAAAAAAGAGAGAGAGAGACAAGATGCTAAATAACCAAACAAAGCTAAAGCAGGGCTTCCTCACTTGAAATAGTACTTAGCAATACATGCATCTAATCTAGTGTCTGAAGAGCAAAGATACCTCCTCCTGCTCCTTTGTTTCTTTTTCAATTTCCTGGCACTAACAGCAATAGCACCTTGCACCTACTTCACATTTGATAATTGTTTCCTTAATAAAATTGTCCTTTCTTAGAGATAAGAGAACAAGGGTCATTCACAATGGAAGAAAATAACTTGACCTAATATATAAAAGAAGCAATGAAGCAACTCTTTAGTAATACCTAAAAGTAATTAGTAAACTATGTTACCACAAAGGCTTCAATCATCAAAGCCAACTCACACTTACGGTAGATTTTTCCCCACACTAAATGTTACCATTCTACCAGGATGCAAGCAAAACGAGATACAGACATCGCACTGCTTTCTAAAGGGGCCGTGACCCATCATCAGATTCAGGTTCCTAATCATCCCTTTTCCCTCAACGGTGCATATCTTGTTTTTTCTGGAGTAAAATTCAAGTACTAACAACACATATAGTACATGTCTGCTTAGAGGAAGTTGTTTAGGTTTGAGCTTCTTAGTTTTTGTATGCCATTAATCACACAGGCTGGAAAGTTTATAAGCTGTGTCTCATAAATCCATAAATCACACAGGCTGGAGAGTTATAAACGACATCTTGTAAACCCATAAATTCTAGGTCTATTTAAAATAAGCAGTCTGGATTGGCCAGGTATATCCTCTAAAACAATCCCTCCCCCCATTATCTTCCCACAAGCAAATACCACTGGCATGTTTTCAAGGCAGTCAGCACGACCCAGGCTTCTGGAGGAGGGAAGGAAGGAGTTCTAGTACCCTGTCCCTCATAAGCCTAAGAAGGAGAAACTAATTCAGCTGTGAACTCGTGTATTCCAAGAATGGAGACTGATGTGATTAAAAGTCTAGCCTTAATGATGCTATAAAAAGAGCATTCTCTTTCCTCACCCTGGCCATTTCATCTCCCTCCCTGAGATCCTACTATCTCCTCTTTCTCTTAGATGAGAGCTCTCCAGTACGGTAGCCACCAGCCACATGTGGCCTACTGAGCACCTGAAATGTGGCTGGTGTGACTGAGGAAAATAATTTTAAGTTTTAATTTATTTAAATTTAGACTTATCCAGCCACACATGATGAATATCTGCAACACAGGTATAGAACATTTTCATCACTGCAAAAAGTTCTATTTCTAGCTCTGCCTTAAATCATATCCAGGACTCTCCCCCTCTACTTCAAAATTCCTCATCAGGGAAACCAAGCTGATCTCTCTGTCCCCTACTCCCTTCTCTTCCTCTTGGAAGGTGAATTTATTTAATGGTCTCCTTTCTCCACACCTTCGGCTACTCAACAAGCTACAACAAAAAGTGACAAGAGTGTCTTTACTTTCATGGCACTGATTACCCAGTTGGAGAGATAATAAACACCCACAGAGCAACTATAAAATAATCCTAAGGAAAGTACTTTGAGGAACGTACCATATGGCTGGATACCATCCCCCATACCTCAACAAACCAACATACTTTCATCTGGCAACAAACAAAAACAAAACTCTCAAATATGAACACTGCCATGAAACACATCAAATGTCCAACCATATGACATGTATGAAAGTGAGTATCAATTAATACGTGTTTCCTTTTTCAATTCTCCATGAATACTTATTGAAAACTTATTACGTACAAGGCACTGTAGTTGTTCTGGGGAAAATATAAAGAAGAATAAAATACTGTTTATCCCTAAGGAGTTTATAGTGTGGTAGAGAATGATGCAAATTATCACTACTGAAAGCTGGGAACACATCAATACTACAGTTGTTGAACCCTGGGAATTGCTTAAATACATTTATATTTAGTGTTCAGTTTCTTAAAGGCTAATGGGTAATTTAACTTGAGTCTAGATATACCTTGAATGCACTGAGAAGAAGAAATATTACATATTAAGAATTCAAGATACAGGGGCACCTAGGTGGCTCAGTCAACTGAGTGTCCAACAAGAGCTGATTTCAGCTGTGGTCATGATCTCAAGGTGTGAGATCTAGCCCCACGTCAGACCCCTCACTCAGCGGGGCCTCTGATTCTCTCCCTGTCCCTCTGCCCCTCCCCCCACTTGTGCATGCATGCTCTCTCTCTAAAATAAATAAATAAATCTTAAAAAAAAAAAGAATTCAACGTACATATAATTTACAAATCTGCTGATAGCTGGTGTTTATTGTTGATAATTTTATCTATATATTTAGTCAATCCTTATGATCTTCATAAATTAACTAGTATATTATATATCATATTATTCATTCATCCTATTTCTCTCTGAATCATTGTAAGTCTCAAGGCCTAACACCAGCTACAAGTAAAGACTTTATAAATTATTTTTTTTAAGATTTTATTTATTTGACAGAGAGCGAGACAGTGAGAGAGGGAACACAAGCAGAGGGAGTGGGAGAGGGAGAAGCAGGCTTGCCGCGCAGCAAGGAACCCCTATGCAGGGCTCAATCCCAGGACCCTGGGATCATGACCTGAGCCGAAGGCAGATGCTTAACGACTGAGGCACCCTTATAAATTATTTTTAATGATGATCCACAATCAATATGTAATTCTACTGTGTCTTTCTCACAAGTTAAATGCTTAATATAAGCAGATTTCACCATAGACTTACCCTTTCTTGGTATCTTCTTTCAAAGAAAGCCATATCATCCTCTTCAGGTCTCTTTAAGGAAGAAACTTGGCTGCTTGTACCTACTAATAAGGAAAAAAAAAAATCTAAGTAATATATTTATGGAATTACAAATTCTGCTGAAATTGAAAAAAAAAACAAAACAGAAAGATAACTTTCCTCTTACCAGTGATTTATTTTTCAAACCAGAATGGTCTAAATGGTAATTGATCCTACTACCTAATTCCCTTGGGGGGAGGGGAAAAGGGACAGGGAGAGATAGAATCTCAAGCAGACTCTCCTCTGAGCCCGGAGCCTGACATGGGCCTTGATCCCAAGACCCTGAGATTATGACCTGAGCCAAAATCAAGAGTCGGATGCTTAACCAGCTGAGCCACCCAGGCGCCCCTACCTAATTCTTTAGAAAGCAGAGCATTGCAAGACAAAGTAACTTTTATTGGCAAACATTCTCCTAATGTGCAACTGGTGCATATTAAATAACAACATATAGCTATTTCACACAAGAGCCCACTTAGCTTTGTTCAACTATATTTTAAATTTTATAACAAAACTAGAAATTCACATAACACCATAACAGATAATGCACAAAAGTAATTACAGAAGATTTGTGCCATGGTCTGAATGTGTTCCCCTCAAATTCATATGTTGAAATCCCAATGCCCAATGTGATGGTGTTAGGAGGTGAGGTCTTGGGAGGTGCTTAAGTTATAAGGGTGGAGTCCTCATGAACGGGACTAGTGCTCTTATAAAAGGGACGCCACAGAGATCCCTCAACTCTTCCACTATAATATAAGGACATAATGAGAAGGGGCCAGCTGTGGATCAGGAAGAGGGCCTTCACCAGAATACAACCATGGTGGCGCCCTGATCTCGGACTTCCAGCCTCCGGAACTGTGAGAAATAAATTTCAGTTGTGTATAAGCTACTCAGTCTATGGTATTTTCTTAGAGCACCTGACTGGACTATGGCAGTTTGTATAAGCAACCAAGATACTACCTGCTTTGAAATTTTTCAAAACTAACTTTAGTCATTTTCCATGGTATTCACTTTTTAAAAACTAAAACAAGCACTAGTTTAAGTTGTGAAAGGAATTTAAAATTGCTTCAGGAAAGAAAATCAAGTTTTCTTTGTAGGTGCACTAAGAGCCCAGTTCCATGGAAAAGTTCACCTTCATTTCAGGTGAATGTGTTGGTTGGGTCCCTTCATATCCAAAACAGAGTATCAACTTGAACACATGTTCTGGTTTTTAAAGCATATAAATTCACCCTCAACCAGCAACACAAAAATCATATCACTCCAGACAATCACCACAGAGTATAACCACACTCTGTCAACTATCTAACAAAAGCCTTGTTGAGAAAAATATGAAAAAATGCTTAGAATATGCGCTATCTATTCATCTCAAAACTCTGGGTCTTTTCCCTGAATCATGTTGGATCATTTGAGCTAAGCTGCTTATAGAATCACCTTCGTTGAGTTGCATTTTAATGGTATATTACCATTTATCTGGTAAAGTGGTATTTTACCATTTTTATCAAAGTGACTATCAGAAATAAGCAACCACATGCTGCATTTGCTGAAAAAAAGTTTTTTTTAAAATAGATAAGATTTTACATAGAAAATCAAAGCATTTATTCAAGTTAATTCATTTCATTCAATAATCTGCCATATTGTTACAGTCACTGTTAATATTACTGTCATTGCTATTTCTCTTCGAGAGGACCATGCTTTTAAAAAATTTGGGTTGGATTTCCATGATGTTTAACTCTATGACTAAAAACCTTTCCCCTTGGGCGCCTGGGTGGCTCAGTTGGTTAAGCGACTGCCTTTGGCTCAGGTCATGATCCTGGAGTCCCGGTATCGAGTCCCACGTCGGGCTCCCTGCTCAGCAGGGAGTCTGCCTCTCTCTCTGACCCTCCCCCCTCTCATGCTCTCT